CCCCCCCCTCGTTCTAAAATCCATCCAACACAAATCAGTCGCCACCCCTCTGACGTATCACAGATATCTAGCAAAACCCTTTTTTGTTATCCCTGAATATGAAGTAGCTTCTGTTCTGAACTCATACTTGTGAAATCCATTGATCTTGGCTCAGATTTGATCCTGTGTGTGCAGAGTGCGTAATTTGTGTCTTGCTACTGTAGTTAGGCTCCACTATTTTAAAGATATGAGAGGCAGGTCTCTGCAAAACCTGTTGTCCCGACAGACACAACCTAAAACCTGACAAGCTGCTCCTTCAGTTTTATCAACAACTATCTCCTCCGCTTCAGTCCAAACCCAATCATTGAAGCATTGATCTTCGTAACCACACATGGCTGCCTCCACCAGGGAGATTCTTACACCAAAACATCAGAAATCACAATTACATAACTGAACAGTGATCACTCAGTGGCTGCATGACAAAGAAAGAAAAGGACATAGCTAATGTTTAATAAAAAAAATATCATGCAGTTAATTGAAAAGCAAATGCTGTTGTGCAAGGTCTTTGATTTGTTCACGATCCATTTATTTATTTACACAATTGTGAAATACAGCCACGAATTGACTGCGTACAGTAGTTCCGTGACAAACTATTGACGATTTGTTTTCCCGCTATCTTTTCAACATGTTTGTGTGACAAACCTCCAAAACTCTCCTGTCACCGGGTGTTTTATTACGTGTAAGGTCCAAAGATCAGTGTGAGCATGCGTTTAGGCGGTGGGTCCCTCAGGTATAAAACCTACCGGCTGTGTTACTGATAGTAACAGTCCTGTATTTGTCACTCACACAGCACCAGACTGAGATTTCTCTCCCTTCCTCTTGAGGTAAAGATGAATGCTTTAATGGACTCCATGTCAGGTTTTGGGGTGAGCACCACCCATTACCTGCAGACAAACTTTAAGGATGCTCAGGGATTGTTTCTCTGGGTCTCCTGGGCGGCAGACCTCAGGAACACCTTCTTCATCTTCTTCCCTCTTTGGTTCCACCTGCGGTCTCCAGTGGCCATCAAGCTCATATGGGTGGCTGTGATCGGAGACTGGCTCAATTTGGTGTTCAAATGGTAAGTCAAGTAAATCTTTGAATTAGAAGTTTTTCAACATGGCCATAACATGTTTTTAGACCATGATGGAGTGTATATTTATGTCGTCTTCTTCAGGATTCTGTTCGGTGAAAGGCCTTACTGGTGGGTCCATGAAGCGGATTATTATGCAAACACAGTTCGTCCTTACATTGAGCAATACCCCATGACCTGTGAGACCGGGCCAGGTGAGAAATGTCCCTAATGGGCCGCTTTTATTAACCCAACTCCTCAGAAGTTCCTGAAATATTATCGTAGATTGTTTTTTACAAAATCATTGTACCTACTGTACTTGGGTGCAATATAAGGCTGCAGATTTTGTTCATTATTATTTAAGGACCCATCTTGCTGTTTAATCATGCCAGGTATTGTCTTGAAGGAAGATGTAATCAAACCTTTTACTTAAGTGAAAATAAAGCATTGAGTAACATTATTTTCAGGTAAAGTCATTCAAAAGTAAAAGTACATGAGTACTGCAGTTCAATTTTTAGGTTCTCCATAATATAAATATAGAACTTAACTGATTTGAGAAAAAACCTATACATTTTCTCAAATCTTTTGAAATATTTGAATAATTGTACCACTTTTGGTCATCTGAACAGTTAAGAGGTGAGTTTAACAATATTACATGGCATATCCTTTATAAGCATAAGCTACTTTAGAAAAAAACCTAATTAAATTGTATTTTATAAGCTTAAATTGTGTAAGAAAAACTATAAAATAGCTTGGGTACAGACCTTGAGTTCATGTACAGTACTACAGTAGGTTACTTTCACTGCTGTTTTTAAAGATGTTCCTTACTTTATTCTATTTATTAATTCTCTGAAACAACCAAAAATGCTGAATGAACAATGTAGTCACTATACTTGAGTGAGTCAGCCACTGATACCCCCCTCTCTGTTTGTGTTACAGGAAGCCCCTCTGGCCACTCTATGGGAGCTGCAGGAGTCTACTACACCCTCGTGACCTCCATCCTCGCCATAATGACCACCAAGAAGAAATTTGGAATCAAGAAATCCAGCAACAAAGATTGGTGAGTCAGACAAATTAACATTGTACTCATCCATGTCTGTGTTGTTAACCATTTTATTCCACCCTGAGCTTATCATTGTGGACACACTATCTGTCCTGAGCTGTGGTTGATCATTGACTCCTGAGAACCATGGTTGGAGAGTGGAGATTACATGTGGGTTGTTTTGACGTCCAGGCGGCTGAAATTCTAATGACCAGCAAGAAAACACTGAGTTAATTGTTATATTGCTTTTAAGGATTGACTTGCTGTGAAAGGGCAAGGCAAGGCTGTCTTGAATCTCAATTGCTGATTCAAACTCAAATGAAATGTGTTTTTCACAGGTATCTGAAGGTTGTTTTGTGGACACTGTTTTGGGGAGTGCAGGTGTGTGTCTGTCTCTCAAGGGTCTTCATCGCCGCCCACTTCCCACACCAGGTCGTAGCTGGTGTTATAACAGGTCAGTGTCCTTCTAGGGATGAGTATTGTTTAGAAAAACACAATACCAGTACCAATACAAGTACTGATACCAAAAGAGTTCTTCATCTCATACAATTCTCCGCTAACTCATTTGATACGCATCATGTACATGGAGCATTAGGTGTTGTTAAAAGCATCCAACTTATTCAGGGTTCCCGCGGGGTCTTAAAAAGTCTTAAATGTGATAATCTGAATTTAAGGCCTTAAAAAGGTCTTAAATATGACCAAAAAAATAAGAAAGGTCTTAAATATGATTTAGAAGGTCTTAAAAATGATCGGATTTGAAAGGTACTTCTGTGTTGCGATCGCGTCTAAAAAGTGTTTTGGGGAAAATGTCCGGGCTACAAAGTAACCAGTACGGAAAGAGCCTTTCAGTTCCCCCCAACAATTTGTATTGAAATAAATCAACATGGAACCAGCAATCACTAACTTTGTTTCCCCCAGCCCCTTATCGGAGAACACCCAGCTAGTAACCTAGCAACCAAACTTCAGCTAGCGGTAGTCAGAAACTCATGTCTCTTCGAATCTACTTACAAATAAATATGGGGAAGTGTAAGTTAAACCGTATTTGGTTGGAAAACATCGAATTTAGTGCTTGGTTGAAACCAGTGGAGGGAACGTGTTTGAAGCCCGCTGCACCTTTTGCAAAAGAAAGCGTTTGTTTTGCTAATGTAGCGTTAGCTAGTGGAGCGTTAGCTAGTGCAGCAGCTCCCGCAACAACACCGGGGGACCTCCGGGCGACGTTTGGGTCTACGTCCTAAAAGCGGAGTTGCTGTAGACGCTAAATACCGTAGTTAAACACCAATCATACAACAGCAATGAGGAAAGATTGTAGCCAAGGCAGCAGAGCTCTGAATATAGCTCTTGTTACTCACACACACACACACACATACCATTGCTGCCTTGGCTACAATCTTTCCTCATTGCTGTTGTATGATTGGTGTTTNTTATTGCTATTTATTATTTTGATATTATTTATTTAAATATATCATTTAATACATTTTTGTATTGCTTTTTCAGTTGAATTATACGTTCAGGGTAATCAACAGTTAAAAAGATAATGTTCAAATTATTATTTGTTTTAAAGGTCAATAAATGGATGTTTTCAAAGTCAATGAATAATCGTATTTAATAATCGTGTTATAAATTATTGACCAACATAATCGTGATTATTGCCATAATCGAGCAGCCCTAGTGTGTGTGTGTGTGTGTGTGTGTGTGTGTGTGTGTGTTTGTGTGTGTGTGTGTGTGTGTGTGTGAGAGGGAGAGTAACAAGAGCTATATTCAGAGCTCTGCTGCCTTGGCTACAATCTTTCATCATTGCTGTTGTATGATTGGTGTTTAGCTACGGTATTTAGCGTCTACAGCACCTTTGCTTTTAGGGTTGACGTAGACCCAAACGTTGCCTGGAGGTCCCCCGGTGTTGTTGCGGGAGCTGCTGCACTA